CTATGGTTATCAAAAACATATGAACCGTAGAGGCATGATTTATTTACTTAATATGATTCCGTTCCTTACAGTTGACCTCAGTATTCCTGCTAGCATGCCCCACTCCAAACACCAATGGCAGAGCACTAAATGGTGTAAATTTTACATGCTGAGATTCTGGTGCTAACACCAAAACATGGTAATAAAACAGCAGAAACTATGATGTTAAAGTGTACAAGGGACACATAACTCTACATTTAGGGTGTGTTCTAAACGCTTTTATATTTCTTTACAGAGGGGGTAGAGGTTATTATCTGCATTCATAACATTTATGGGCATTGCTACCATTTGACATGCTCCTCCTTGCAGGTATCGACAAATGGTGATTTTGTTCGGTTAACAAATTGGTGCTCAACTAGACAAGCCCGAGGTCCAACCAAGCTAGCTATAATCTGTGGCCATTTCTACAAATAAACAAATTATCTAAATCTCTTTAGCGTTTCTGTATTGATATACTTGGATTTTCGTAGTCTCCATTTTGATAACTGTGGTATGGATTGAGTGGAGATAGTACAGTTCGTAGAGACTATGCGTAGATCTAGATCAGTTCTTCAAATGTCACATGCCCATTTTGCTTGTGGTTTCGGTACCAATGTTTCATTGAATTGGCATTACTCTTTCATTGAATTGGCATTGTACAAAAATAGCACATTGCCTATTAACTGTTTCATGCAATTTTGCTTGTGGTTTCGGTACCAATGTTTGCATGCCCCTTTCACTTTGCTTTTATTACGAAATGGGTTGAGTTGGGTCGTCCATGAGAAGTACTGATTTGCTTTTCATGAAGGCATAGATTTGCTTCCTTAAAAGGCAGGGATGTTTTAATGGACGACTCAACATTCTTTTTGTGATTTTTTTTTGCTTCAATGAGAAGCACTTGTTTGCTTTTCGTGGAGGTATAGATTTGCCTCCACAAGATGCAAATTTGCACTTTTCATGGATAGAAAAAAAAACGTAAGCAATTGCTGATGCAAAAGGATGGACAAATAAAAAACATAAAAAGATAAAAAGGAAAAAAAACAAACATGAAGAAACAAAATAAAAAATCAATTAAGAAAAAACCTTCTGAAACCTTCACAAAACAAGACTGAAGGTTCCAGAAGCTTCCTGAAACATTTCGCTGCATGGGCTAATAATTGCTGTAATGGGCCTGCCCAGGAAACTTTGCTACGTTAGCAAGGAATATACTCGTATTTGCTCTGTTCAACTAAAATAAAGAAGTATTTTTTCTCATGGCGCGGTACATAACATTCTTTCCTTTTCACGTACTAAACATTATATAGGAGCTCCCAAAGATCATCCCAGTAAGACGAGAACTCCTATATGACACATAGCGCGACCCACAAAACGATCACTTGATGGGCCGACTCAATTGTGTGAGAGGTTGCACTACTACTCTTTAGATTGAATTTGGCTGTTTTCCAAAAGTAACCCAGCTGAAGTTTTTTTTATAGATGTAAAAGATATGTAACAGCGTGATTGTAATTATTTTTTACGCAACTCAACTGTTTTTGTGCATTTTGAAATATTAGCAAATTGAAAATGTTCTGGTGTTTCTTAAAAGTTCATGACTTTTTAAAATGTTCACTAATTCAAAACAATTCTAATAAATTTATTTTATTTTTTACCGGTGTTAAAAATGTGCACTAAAATAAAATATGTTCACGAATTACAAAAATGTTCATAGCGTATTTAAAATATTCCACTTAAAAGTAGTATTTAAAAAAATCACACTTTAGGAAAAGATGTTCATGTATTTTCAGAAACTATTTTAAACAGAAAAGTGAATCTTGTATAGACAGAAACGGAAAAACTAAAAACCAAACACATGAGAAATAAAAGAAAATTTAAAAACAAAAATAATTTAGTAAATATTTTTTTAAAAATGGATAAAATAAATATAAAAGATATGAAATAAATAGAAAAATAGAAATAGAAAAAACCGGAACTCAGTACCCCAAATGGTACCGGAAATCAGAAGAGCGTTATAAGAACAATAATTGAACCCAGAAAAATCACCCCACTCTCCTCCTGTTCCTGGCACATTACATATCGCTCTGTACCATTCGTTGTCATCCTGATGAAGTGAGCATAATCTAGGAGTTGCGCTGGTAAACTATGTTGATAGACTAGATAGGACAAAAATAGACGAGTATGAAAATTTGGCACCCAGGTCACTTGTAGCTGCTATGTTCGTAAAACGGAAATAAAGATATGTCAAAGGTTCAAAAATGCAAAATAATTTCATGATATGTCTAGATGTATAAACAACTCTTCCTTGTATCTTAGCGAGGCAATCAAATAAAAGTGTTTTAACCATTTATATGACTACCCTCATCACATCCCCAATAAACTTCATATAGTGCATAACATTCCCTGTATTGACCTTTCATCATAACCAGTCCAGCATTAGACTATAGCACAAATGTACAATATGAATCCATAAAAAAGATAATACAATTAGGACACCACAAATTGAGACAAGAATTTTACTTGTAATCAGAATATAATCATTGATCATAATCACATACGATAGCGCATATGATCTTACACACCAACATTGTACGAGGAGAGGACTACATTTTCCAGGGGAAGCTACATAGCATAGTACCATTAGCCCCCTCTATGACCTAATTTAGCTAAGAATCATACTCCCTTCTGATGGAAATATCAGTCGGGCATGTGTCTTTAGGTCTTCGATTCGACTAGTGAGGTCGTGTTCCATGCCATAAAAAATTACATCTCTATAGATTCATTATGAAATTAAGTTTCTAAACATATATTTTTCTAGCATATCATGCATGATTTGCTAGTTAAATCGACGAGCTAAATTCTCGTGCCTGGCTTATATTCCCATCTGTAGGGAGCACAGAAGTTTCTTTAGCAAGGATCCTTCCAAAGCTAGTATCGGCCTATACTAAGCCAGGGTCGCGAGACATCCGATATTCACCAATCCAAACAAATTAGAGATTGTAATATATCATTGGGGGTTATACAATCATGAGCACATGTTATGATAAGAGTAATACTTTATTTATGTGGGAATCAAACAAATAATTACATATATTAATAAGACCATTAGATACAATAAATAATTACAACCACAAGGAATACAATTTTGTCGTCAAACCCTAGCGACCGGTGCAACACAAAATTAATTGTGGTTGTCGGCCCAGAACTGAGCTTGGAGCCAGTCCACGGTCTTCTTCTCCACCTGAAAGGCCTTGGCGAGAACATCATCCGAGATCATAGGCTCTGATCCAAATACGGCGTTGGCAATGGTAATTGCCCCTGGGTTCTGGCTGCTAAGTGCGGCAATCGCAACCGCGGGCTTGTACGGGTTGGGGTTAAACTGGAAGTGGATGAGTCCTTGCGGGAAAACAAAGACATCACCCTTCCTGAGCTCCTTGGAGAAGAGCTTGTTTTCCGGGTTGGACGTGACGAAGCCGACGTAGAGTGTACCCTCAAGCACGGTGAGGATCTCGGTGGCACGGGGGTGTGTGTGTGGAGGGTTCTCGCCTAGGGGCGCGTAGTCGATGCGTGCGAGGGAGATGCCAAGCGTGTTGAGGCCAGCAATCTTCATGACGTTAATCAAGGTCACGTTGGACCCGACCTTGCTCATCTTTGTGTCTCTTGGCATATCGAGTTTGGCCGCCAGGAAGAAGTCCTCCGCTGTCACGGCCTTTGGGTCCTTACATACGAATCCGTTAACAAGTACTGCATCAAGAGAAATAAGATAAATACGCACACAAGGGAACATTGATTACAAACTATTTTGATATAATTCAAATATGATGTGATGGAAGAGTTAACTTGGTACATACCACGCGAGCTATTGTCCGCCACACAAAAGTCTTGGAGAGGACCAGGATCTGAAGATAGAGCCTGGCATGAGACCAATGCAAGAATAGCAGTGAAGAGAAGGAAGCAGGAGGAAGAGAAGGAGGCCATTTTTCTGCCGGTGAAATGGATGCTGTCTAACTCTTAGCAAGCTTTGTGTGTTGAGGGGTGGTAGCTGATTCTGTGGCCATGTTGGGAG